CCCAAGTAGGATCTTGGGATGGGGCTGCCTGGGCCCCAGTAGGGAACTGGGAGCTCCCTATAGGATCTCCAGTCCCATGATCATTAATGAGTTGCTCGTCCCCATATCTTTCAGCCGCTGCCAGAACCCCACGCTTCTCTGTTTCATTGAGAGTCTGATTCCACAGAAGCATTATATCTTTTTAGGTCAATTCAAAAACATAGTGTAATTCTCTCTGAAAAGCCTCTGTATACTTATCCGGATCATCAAAATTTTCCTAGATCTTTTATCTGTCTTAAATCTTGTAACGTAAAATCTTGCAATCTTATCGTAGCGGTGCCTCCTTGCATCCGTTCCCCCCCCCCCCCCCCCCCCCCCACCCCGGGCCCTCTAGCTTCCGTGAGGGGAAACACATCTGTTACATTGCAGGGAGGGCCTGGGTAAGGTGGGCAGCGGGAGGCAGAAGTGCGCGTTTTTTCAGTCTGGATGTACAGATGGGGGACCCGAGGAGGAGGAGGTTGAGGGGGAAGACTTCCCTTCCTCCTTCCCTAGGTTCCCTTTGGGTACAGGCAAGGGACCCTTAGTTTTCTCCCTCCTTAGTTGTGAACCCTTGGAAAGGGTTGCCAGTAGGCCAGGATCGACCTTACATTGCTGACACCTATCTCAATTTTCTCTGAAGGCCCCAGAACACTGGACATGGGGGGCGTCTCCCCATCTCCCCTCACGTTTGGGAACAAGTCCAATTGTAGGATAGTGTTCTAATTGTTACTTGTCTCTGGTGGCCAGGTTTCCTCCTCCAATTTGTATGGGGACCCAGCCTTGGTGCAAAAGAAAATGAGTCGCTTTTCTTTAGGGTTTGTGGGTCAAAATCATCCCAATTTTTTAGAATACGTCCCGAAGGAGAGTACTGGCCTCGGTTGGGGAGTTGCCCATCTATAGGAAAAAGTTTCCTATAGCTGGCCAGGAGAAACCTCATCTGGCCCCACAGTTGGGCTGGCTATGCGACTGGCAGCCAAAAGCCCTATCAGTCTTGGGAGGTGCTGGGAATAGTCGCTATTACCCAGGCTTGACTCTACCCCCCAGAGCTGACCTTGTCTTCCCGGTTTCTCCGACCCCTCCGTTTCCTGCCTGTGGGACTTTGGGGGATACCGACTGTGACCAAGCAAGACTCCCCTGGTTGTAGAAGGATGTACTAATTTTATCTTGGCCCAAGAGTAATTTACATATTGATCATAATAAAATTGTTCCTTTTAACAAATATATTTCAGAAGGCTGGCGAAAGCCATTTCTCGTAAGGATAAAATTGGCTGTTGAGGGGGGCTAAAAGGGCCAAAGTTGAGGTCTATTCACCTGTTTTTTTCCAGCAGTGCCCACATAAATGTGTTCCAGCCACGTGGGTGTCCACTTTAAAGTATCTAGATTGGCACAAGTCAGCACACATTGGGATAAGTGTAGCAAAATGGCTCCCATGTCTCCGGGTAAAAGCCCTTTATAGGGGCGCCTGGGTGGCTCAGTTGGTTGAGCATCCGACTTTGGCTCAGGCCGTGATCTCAGTTCATGAGTTTGAGTCCCACATCAGACTCGCCGCTGTCAGAGCACAGCCTGCTTTGGATCCTCTGTCTCCCCCTCTCTCTGTCCCTACCCTGCTCATGCTATCCCTCTCAAGAATAAAAAATAAACATTAAAAAAAAAGCCCTTCATTTATCACAGTCATCCATCCATCGTATGGCACAGGCCATATGGCACATTCCTCCACCTTGCAGAAACAACACAAATGTGGAGAATTTGGAGGCCAGCAGTGAGGACATCACCACCATCTCCCCAGCCTTCAGATCAAAGGAAGGGCAATTTTTTAATCAGAGCTCGAGCAAAACAACTCAAAAGGGCATGCTGTCCTGCCATTTTGGTTAAAATCATAGTTCTTTCCATCTTTTTGGACAGACAAAAGAGAAAAAAAAAAACGTTGGTTACATTTTTTTCCTTTACAAACCTTCTATAACTTTTAGATTTTGTACCAAGCCATTTCTCTCCAAACAACCAGCCTCATTTAGGACAAAATTACTTTTTTTTTTTTAAACCTTCACTGAAAAGGTACGTATTTCCATTTCTTATATCTTTCTTACACATTTCATACTTTTTAAAATGTCCAAATGAGGGGCGCCTGGGTGGCGCAGTCGGTTAAGCGTCCGACTTCAGCCAGGTCACGATCTCGCGGTCCGTGAGTTCGAGCCCCGCGTCGGGCTCTGGGCTGATGGCTCGGAGCCTGGAGCCTGTTTCCGATTCTGTGTCTCCCTCTCTCTCTGCCCCTCCCCCGTTCATGCTTTGTTTCTCTCTGTCCCAAAAATAAATAAATAAAAAAAAAACGTTGAAAAAAAAAATTTAAAAAAATAAAATGTCCAAATGAATTTAGTCCAGTTTAGTACCCAAGCAAAACTTTAAAGTTTCAAGTTATTGAAGACCCTGAAAGCTCTCTTAGCAATTACCCATGAACACTTTGAGACAGACAAAATTAACCATCATTTGAAGTCACCTTTTTGCTGATGAACTGTAACAGAGATAGCATGTGATTACTCGGCCTTCAGTAAACCAGAAAAAGTTTCATATATTTAATGCTCATAACTCTAAAGACCTGTCTACCTTAATTAAACCAACAAACTTACGTTAGTTTAAATACCGAATTATGTTCCATCTGTATCCATTTAAAAGTCAATCAATTTGTTCCCCATTGTCAATTTTTACCTGGGGCACCAGTGAGGAAATCTGAAGTGGGCGGTGTAAGTCTAAGGGGGTGTTTTTTGTTCCTTGACAGTGAGGGGAGGAGGAGGAACCCGTGGTGCTGGAGGCCCCTGAAAGGTAGAGGAACCAGTTAGGCAGGCTGCACCCAAGCTGGTGCAGAGACAGGAGGAACGAGGGGAAGGCAGAAGAGGTGAGGTGTCACCAAGAAGCCTAGAGACAAATAAAAGCCCAGAAGGCAGAGAAACAGGTCTCCTGGTTCTAAAGCCTGTCAGCTTGGACAGATGAGCAGATGCAGATTTTTTTTTTCCACCAAAAACTGGAAATGGGGAGTCCGTGTCAAGCCAGAGAAGTCAGGAAACTTCTCTGAAACAGAAGGGTGTTCGGCAGCTGCTTGGGAATATTCCTTAAAGTCCCTGTCCTGACGTAGACTGACCAGAGACAGTTGGCCCTAATTATCATCTGTACCTTGTGGGAGCCGGCCAAATGTCTTCTCTCCATCCCCCATGTGGGCATCAGGGGCAGGAGGAGGGTGGTGAGCCCAGAAGGGGTTGAAGTAAGTCCTGCTCTCTGCTCTGCAAGAGGCGTTTGAAAATGAAAGGTAAAAAATGGGGCCCTGGGAGGTGGTGAACCATGTCAGAGGGTCAGAAATGGAAGCAAGTACAGAGCCGCTTTCCGTTGTATTTGGGAAACCTGTGAGTAGGACCGTTGGAAGTCACCTGGATCCCTCCTACGAGGATACCAGAGAGATCAGTCCTGGGCTTTTCCACTCACTTCCCAAAGGAAAAGAGAGGCTGGCCAAGACAGAAAGAGGAAAATTCCACCGGATACCCAAGTGGGCAGTCAGGGATCAGGTTCTGCTGATGGCCTTCGGGCCTCCACCAAAGAGTAGCCTTGGTCAGGACCCATCAATGGCTGTCTGGCCTCCCCTGAGTCCCACACATCCAGAGGTTCTTCTCGAAAGGAAGTTGGGAGTCCACCACACCAACATTCCCAACTACATTGGGAGATCAGACGGCAGGAGACCCAAGGAGCCTGTCACCCGAGACTTGAGGATGGCTGACACACTGTTTGCTCTTAACTGGTGGGTGGGTGCCAATTATTTAGTCCGAGGTTTTCTTTAAGATGGAAAGAAAAGAGGGGATGCCAGCTGTTATTTACTTACGGTTGGAGGACGTTAACATCCTAGACAAGCCCCCAAAGAAATGTTACAGGATTTTTTTTTTTAAACCTCAATACCCAGTGTTCATTGTTTAGCCACTTCAAAGAATGAAGAGGTGGACACAATAAAATGAGCAGCAGGCAAAAGTTTCTTAGAGTGTAAGAATAGTATGGGGGCGCCTGGGTGGCTCAGTCGGTTGAGCGTCCGACTTCCGCTCAGGTCATGATCTCGCGGTCCGTGAGTTCGAGCCCCGCGTCGGGCTCTATGCTGACAGCTCAGAGCCTGGAGCCTGTTTCAGATTCTGTGTCTCCCTCTCTCTCTGCCCCTCCCCCATTCATGCTCTGTCTCTCTCTCTCTCTCAAAAATAAATAAACGTTAAAAAAATAAAAAAAATAAAAAAAGAATAGTATGAAATAGGGGTGCCTGGGTGGCTCAATTGGTTAAGCGTCCGACTTCAGCTCAGGTCATGATCTCACAGTCCGTGAGTTCGAGCCCTGCATCAGGCTCTGTGCTGACAGCTTAGAGCCTGGAGCCTGCTTCGGATTCTGTGTCTCCCTTTCTCTCTGCCCCTCCCCTGCTCACGTTCTGTCTCTCTCTGTCTCAAAAATAAATAAAAACATTAAAAAAAAAGAATAGTATGAAATAGTATTACAGTAAGAATAGTATGAAGGGTCTCTTTGCAGAGAGGGGACATTCGAAAGTGAACGCCCATAACATGAGGTGCATGACAATAGGGACTTTGTTCTATATGATTTTGGTCACCCCTCTTCCCTTCCCCCTTGTTCCTTCTCAGGTCCTACCTTTATTGGCTTGATCACTCTAGGTTCTGGGTTGTGTATTCCTGATTGGCTCAAATCCATTGTGTGAGGAGTCAGACTATGATCCTACTGTCCCTTGTATAACAGAAGTTTTATGTTTTTCTTATTTTAATTAGGAATTTTGATTGTCAAATTCCTGAGGGGACCCTGAGGGGGAGTAAGTGGTGTCTGTTATGTTCTTAAAAGGAACCCTATGCCCAAGGGAGTCAGACACTCCCAACATTGTTCCAAAATATGTGTTTTTCCCCACCCAGGGACCTCAGGTCCTAACCTTTCCCTCTCTGCCTATTTGACCCTATCTTTTCCCATCACAGAGTCAGTGATTATCCCCACTTCGCAGATGAGACAGACGAGGCTCAGAGAGGGGACTCCACCTGCTCCAGGTCACGTGGCCAGGGAATTTGGGGGAGCAGAATTTGAGGCCGGGGCCCTGGCTGACTTTAGAATGGACCTGGGCTCAGTAGGCTAAACTGCCTCTCCCACCCCACAAGGATGGGCAGGAAGAGGGGCTGGAGGAAGGGTGCTGGGCATCATCATTTTTTAAAGCACTTCCAGGACTATGGGTGGATACCACCATTCAAGCATCTGTCTGCTGTTCCACCAGGATATTCTGAGTTACCGCCCACAGTTTCAGAAGGGAGGGTAAGGTGGGGTTTTGGTGCGAGAAGGAGGACCGGAGGTTCCTCTCTGACTTCTCGTCCTTGATCTCCCAGGACAGACATTGAAGGAGACCACATCCATTCCTTCAGCAGACACAATCACTGTGAACATTCATGCCCTGACTCAAACCTCAGGTGAGGAAAGAGGCTTGGGTCTGTCAAGATCCTGTCACTGCAAATGACAGCAGCCACAAAGATCTCAAGCTTGGGCCAATCGGGAATTTTGGGTTGTGCAACTGAAAAGCCCAGTGATATGGCTCAGTCTAGGTGCTCAAATGATGCTATCAGGAACCTGTCTCCGTCTCTTGGTTCTATTTTTCCTGTGTTCGCTTCATTCTCAGGTAGATTCTCCTTTTATGAGGCCAAGGTGGCCCCTGAGGCTTCCGTCTTACCTGCTAAGAAGCCAGAGGAAAGGGCATTTCCCTTTCCCCAATCCAGCAAATGTGGCATAGCTGAGTGTCACTGACCAGGCTCGGGTTACATGCCCAACCAGGAGCTGATCATCGTGGCCATAGACCAACGCTGATTGCCAGACCTGGGTCTCGGGTTCCACCTCCAACCAACCTGGTGCCAACCCCACTGAATGAAGTGGACCAAGAATCGGGGAAGGGTGGTTCATAAAGAAAGTTCCAGGGGCTCTTACCAGAGGTGGGTGGATGCTGAATAGGGGAGTGTGCATCTACGGGAGGGGAGGGCTGAGGCAGGGGAGGTACTGGCCTGGCAATTGGGCAATCAGGAAATGGCTGGGTTAATTAAGTCATCTCAATTATATCAAAATTGAATAGTAGAGCAAACCCCCTGTTCCTCCATCCATGAACCTTCTCCACATCTTCTCTCTCTTCTCTCCCTGTTTCCGGACTCCAGACACAGTCCACCCAGAGTCCCAGTCCACCCCTCAGACATCTCTGCAGGCTGGTGGTGAGTGGGGCATGCGGAGGGGGTGGGGGCGGAGGCCTGAGACAGACACTATTCCCTCTCTTCTTCCCACATTCTGACTCCTTTGTTACTCATTTCAGTCCTCCAGCTCTGAATCCTCTGGTTTACTTTGTGGTGGGGCAGACAGCTGCCCACATCCACTTCTGTGAAAGCAAATCTTTTGCAGTTGTGAAAAATAATATCCATATAGAAAAGTACAAAACCCATAAGTGTACCACTTAACAAATTACTCTGAATTGAGCCCCCATGTCACCACCACCCAGCTCAAGGACTAGAGCTTTGCAACCACCCCAGGAATGCCCCCATGCACCAAGGCCATTCATTTCTTCCTTTAATCTCTTGAACTTTTTCCTTTTTTGAGTTTTCAAGTCCTTTTCGAACTTTGTCTTGGGAGTGTAACAGTTCAGAAAGTGCTCCCTAATTTTTCCCATTAATATTTAATGACATAGTAATACCCAAACCTGTTCTGCTTGGGAATAATACGAATATTATAGTGAGATGAAATCCCTTGGCCCATTCTCCGTTCTTGTTCTCTCCCCCATCTCTGAGAGGTCCCCACTGCTAGCACTGGAAGGGGAGTGGTCCCCAGTGATGCTGTGCCACATTTCTGCCCGCAGAAAATATCCTGGCCGGCAGATGTATTTGTGTGAGCGGATCATTTCCAAAACGATAGTCGTTCTGAAACTTGCTCCATCACCCCCGCCCCCCGCCCCCAGTCTCCCCACTGCCCCGTGCAGCAGTATGTTTGGAAGCTCTTCACACATTCCTATGTAAACACCAATCTTATTCTTTCGCGCTGTTGCATGGTACCCGGCTGGGTGCCTGTGTACGGTTCGTGAAGCCGTGCACATCTTGATGAACATCTTACTCTTTGGTACACCCAGTGCCATGGTAAGCAACCTCGTCCGTTCCTCCTTAAGCAAATGCTTTTCTCCCCTATTATAATCTGGTCGTGGTTCTAAATATCTTCCCTGTGTTCTCTCATTCAGTCCTCCCACAAACCTTCTGAGGTAGAACAACCGAACTTTACAGAATAAGGAAACAGAGGCTCGGAGTAACTCACTCAGGGCGTCACAAGTCAGTGACACAGCTCAGACCAGGGGCCCGGAACCTGGCTCTACGGCCTTGCTTTTACCCACCACACTATGGCGCAAAGGGCACGAACGCTGGAATTTGTTGGAAAAGCCAGCTGGGGACCGGTTGCATGGATTTGCCCTGCCACCGGCGTGTGCCAGAGAGTCCCCCTGTCCCACCCACACGGTGACACTTGGAACGTGAACCGTCTTTGATTTCCTCCAGCCAGAGGAGGGAGGGGGCCCCTTGCCGTCTGATGGATGTGCACGTCCCTGATTCACGCGCTGTCCGTCTTCCCTCCTTGCCCTGATCTGAGTAGGAACAACGCAGGAGCAGACGGAGGAGACCCACACCCCACGGCCGACGAGAATGGATGTGCTCCCAGCCACAGATCCGAGGACCGGCCAGAGCGGCCCGGAAGGTAGGGCCTGGGACTAGAAGGGCAACGTGCACATTTTGTTTAATTCTTTATCTGGGTCAGTAGCTCCCCAAGTACATTGCTCGGAGCACCCGTTTGGGGAATTGTTAATACGTTTTCAAAAAATCTGTTTTGATTTGCGGTCAAAGGCGTTTGGGGAACTCCTGAGTTAAAGTTAAACACATTTCTTTATGGCGGGACTTGTTGGAGTCTTAGTAATGCGTATTTGCAACAGGCGTCCTCTACGGGAGCGTCTAGTATGCAGTGTTTTTCCAAACCTGATAGGATAGATTTGGAACTTTCTTTTGTTCAGGTTCCTTTACAGAGCTGGTGCTCGGCAGCGTGGATGTGGGTGTTTCCTTTGTGTACCTCTTCATGTTAGAGCAGGAGGTTTTCAGCTGCAAAATACTGTAAACGCAACTAAAAGTAAAATAGATTTATTGGCTACATATGTTCTGTAAAGTCCAGAGGCATCGATTTCAGGAAGAGCTGGATAGACATGCTCAGACACGATCATCAGACTGACTTTCTCGCTCTTTCTCTCTCTCTCTCTCTCAGCCCTGCTGTCTACATTCTCAAGTTCTCCGGGGCTTTTCCTCTCTTGGTGGCAAAGATGGTCCCATAGTTGTATTTATGTCACAAACCCAGCAAATAGAGCATATCTTTTTCTCATCTCTAGCCCAAGGAATAAAATCTACTCTCATTGGCCCATTTGGCGTCTGACCAATGGAAGCCTGGGAAATGGATTGCTCTGAGTGGTTAGGCCTGAGTCTTGTGCCCATTCTGGGGGTGGAGAACAGGGTCAGCCCTGCCTGAACTGCATAGACCAAGAGTCAAGGAAAAGGTAGTTCCCCTCAGGACCAGTGAGTAGTTAACATTTCAGAGGCGTGCGAAAAGAGGTTGAGCCAAGGTGAAGGCAGCAGGTGGCCTCCAATGCCTGTCTGACTCATATTTGAGGATCCGCCTCTACTGGCAAGTATTGTAGCTTAGGCCGTTCCCAGGCTGAGATGCATGCACAGTTGCGCAGACCGGGCACTGAACAAGAGCATCGCCTCTAAGGCTATGTCATCCCCCTTGTGGATTTTTATAATTGTTATAGTTTTCCAGTGATGGCAGTAAAGCATTTAATTCTGACGGAGCCTGTCTATTAAAATGTTACAACAGATGGAAGTAAAGTTTGTTGGAGAAGAGAACTTTTCTATTTTCCACAAAAGTGGAGGTGGGGGTGGGTAGTGACGGTGTCCACGCTTCCCGGTGGTAAAAAACATTCTCACATCTCTGGATTCATTTGCTGTGAATCCTCGTTGACCTGAGTTACTCTGTGTCATTCTGTGTTCCTGATTATCCGTGACAGAAATTCCACTGGGCCGAGGGGGTCACGGGGCCAGATGGTAAAAGGCACCGCTGAGCCTCAGGGTCCCCGGGGTCTGAGCACGAAAGCCCCCGGCGCCTCTCTCCCTGCCCCATTTTTGTTTTTCTCGTGCCGAATTTTGTCTTCTGCCCCGTGAGGAAATGACCCCTGCCATCTGCAAGCTCGGAGCTCCCAAATTTCACCTCGCCACCGCCGTCACTCTGAATGCCTCCTGGGAATGTGGAAGGTCCCAGGGGAGGATGAGACTGGGTCACCTGCTCCCTCTTGTGGCCTGTGTCACAATAGACCCAGAAGGACTGGGGCAGGGGGCGCAGTC